CCTATTTTGTGCCTAATCAGAATAAAGCATCTGCTTTGGGTATGGAGCTCTGATAAAAAAACCCCTTTAGTTTAATGAAGAGGGGATTTTATTTGAGGAGGGCGGGTTGCAACGGGAAAGTCGCAATACAGTCTCTTTGACTTTTCCTTGCTTAATCATGATGGACCACTTATTGATAGTAATGTCATAAGGATGAAACGAAAAATGGTTTAAGCAATCCCAAACCAAAGGTAACAACCGAGTGGCTTAAAACATCCTCTTCCATGTGTCCACCTCATCATGGTATTCCATAGCTGAGATTTCACAGATCTAGTATAAAAGCAGTCTTAAAATACCTTAAGAGAAAGTAGTGGAAGAAGCAAGTACTTCAGGGATCTCCTCTGTGAAGCACAAAAAAGAATAAGCATATTCTGTCTAGAGAAAAGGCAAATGCTAAAGGATATTGCCAAGTTATTCTGGCATTACACAAACTAGGTTCAAAAACGTCTTTTTAACTATATTAGTCTGTGTCGTCCTTTGAAAGAGAGGCATTCATTTACAGTCCATAGAATATTTCAACCTCCAAATCTGAAAACCCCTGAAACCGATTTTTAGAGCAGCCAAAGTTCTAATAGCATTCATGTCTAAACATCAGAAACAATTTAATCTTAAAACCAGGGTAAAAATTAATGAAGTGTGCTGAATCTTTTTACAAAGCAGAAAAATAAGAACAAATCTTTGAGGAGACGTGGCACATAAATCCCTGCTTCTGCACAGAAATGCAAGAAGATGGATTAATTCCATGAGCAGCACAAGAGAACAGAAACAGAATAAAAGAGGTGGCTGAAAATGAAAAAAGGCTAAAGGAATGACAAAGACAAAAGACTTATTTAAATTCCTCAGATCCAATAATAAGTAGTGCATGACAGTTTGACAATAAGTATGAGAAACTCACTCAGAGAAGGAGTCATGTGAGGACTTCTGACACCTCTACAAATGAGAGTTGATTACAGACAAATAATTTCATATTTTTCATACATTTCAAAGGGCTTCCACATCAAATAGGCAGGTGCTCCACAGCTGGTAATTTCATCATCGATTAACTGTTCAGTTCTGGCAATTCATTTGGTTCAGACTCAACACCAAGACTTTAAGTTCCTTTTAACACAGAGAGATATTTCTCAGCCCAGGCCTGGCAGGAGAGTCCTGCCAATTGTTCTCCAACCATCGCTCTATATTATTACGGAAACTGGGAGGCAAAGGGAACAGGAGGCTTAAGACAACAACAGGAGCTACAGAGTGCTCCTCTCCATGCAACTGTACACCTACAACATCAAAGAACAAACCAAAAAAAAATCCACACAAACGACCAGCACTGCAGTCTGGAGAGGGTGGAGTGCTTCAACTGCTCAATATCACTTAATTAAAATTGCGTGCTTGGGTACAATCTTTAAATCACTTTTCTAATTAGGAAGTCACTCTGGCCCAGGTCATTAGCTGTGCAACATCAGCAGGGTATCAAAACAGCTTTGAGGCTAAGTGCAGTGGAGATTAGAGTCGTTATTCAGCAACTGTCTCTCAATCAGAACAAAAATTCCTCCTAAAAAAATGCACACCTAGTCAAGGAAAGGGGTCCACGAATCAGTCCTTAGGACTGAACAGCACACAGAGTGCTGGATTAATCTAATTACATTGCTGTTGCTTTTTTCTGGCAAGCTATTTAACAAAATACACAGTGATAGAAGAATTGACTCTCACTTCTACTACAGAAGGTAATTAAGATTTGTTTAGTGAAACAAAAGAGAAATCAGGATGGCAAAGAAATCAAAATTTTCAGTGTTTCTTGACAGCTGGAGAGACTGTGTATTAAAATGAATTAAATGTAATTATCCTCATTACTTCTTCCTCAGTTGATTCTGAAAATGACATGAGATGATAAACTTTAGGACAACATGCAGCATCATTTTGGGGCAAACTGTTTTTTTTTTTTCAAGCATGGAACAAATGACCCACAGTCTTGCTCCACCAACAAATAGCCAAAGATGATGAAGCACCACCTGAAAAGCAGATCAAGACTGACAGGAGTAGTGAGAGAAATACTCTGGTGTTCCAGGTTGGCAAGATACTAATCTGATATGGATTAAACAGTGTGCCAGCTTTTTAAAGTAAAAATTTTTAAAACTGGTTTGGAAATAGGAGTGCACCAGCAAGTTTCTTCATTTAACTGGGACCCAGATTCTTCATCCTCCTTCAGTTACCAAGTCCTGGAGCCCGATGTTGAAACTCAAATCTCATAATGATTTCAAATAACAGTTTGGACTCCAGCACTCCTGAAAATCTGGGTGCAGAAGAGACACACGCATAGCCTCCTCTTCTACCAAAGCAACAGCTTCTACAACAAAGCAGTCATGGCTACTTGAGACCCGGTGTTGCTGCCCACAAAGAGATGGTTAGAATCTCATCCTTCAAGTATTCTAAGTATTTTTAGATACTTCAATTTTCTGTTCTTGATCCCCAAGCTCCTCTCTCCAGTTCTGAAGAACAACTATCAAGTGTTTTTTCCCCTTTTTATTTTTGGTCTTCCTAAACACTCCCTAATGATTTAACAGATTAAGAAATTAAATATTAACAGATTAATAATTAAATCCCTCTGATTTAACAGATTAATATACAGGAAGTGAAATTAAATTATCTCAGGGTACTTTCAGGGTTAGACTCAAGCTATAGAACTAGACTTAGCAGGTAAACCTCATGCTGGTTTAAGCTACGTATTTAACAGATACAGTGTTCAGCACAAGTAGCTTGATCATTTGAGGTCATATTTAGAGACACCCAAGTACAGACCACCAGAACACACTCCAAATGCAGAAGACCTGATGGCATTTTGGTTTTAGCATAAAACACAACCTAAAGATGTGTCCAGTTCTGATGCCAGCTAATGCATACTGCATATAACAAGTGATAGAAGTATGCAGAGAAAAACATCTTTTTGTCACAAGCTTTTATACTCTCTAATTCTGCACAATGCTGAAGCATTGTTACCTGCTAATCCTAGTAAATGGAAAGTTAGACCATATGAGTAGCTTTCCCGGTGTCTCACAGAAAGAAGGAGAAAAAGGAAGATAAAAAGTGCTCTCCATATTCTAAGCACAGGCAAAGTCCTGAATGATAAAGGCTTTTTCTTCATCTTATTATCTTTTAACAAAAATCCCCTGAAGAGCTGTATGGCAACTCATTACTAACTTCTGCGGATGAATTTATAAACAGCTTCAGGTAGCTCAGTTCAAAACACTTCTACTTTTGGTATTAAGTCTCAATGGCATTTGAACAGAAGGGGAGAAAAAAAAAAAAAAAGATATTTTAGGCTTCATTTCAAGATTATGATTTAATTGAGGACTTTTTGGGGGGCCAAAGATATGGGGAAGAACTAGACCATTATAAAAGAAGACAACTGAAAATACCAAGCTGACTACAGGTTAGAAGTATGGGAAATAACATCTACAGAGACAGTGCTTGTAAAAAGACAGGTTAATGGGAAATTGGTTCACAATTATTAACAAGTTGTCAAATGCCCATATTATCTTTTAAAAGACTGGTTATTTTATCCCCCAAACAAATAATGCAGCAGAGTATTTGAGACTTCTCAACAGAATACAGCATGCCTTTTCCTATGTCCAAAAGGTGATGGAAAGGACTGTATTTTCTCCAGACTGCAGAACGCCCTGAAGCCTGGTTATAAAGCCCCCTGTGCATTGTAATGTGCAGCTTAGACATGCAGGAACAGAGTGCAGGCAATCATCAAAGAGGAGGCTTCTTGGCACAATCAGTTCTATAGAATGACAAGGCTTTCTAAAAAGATGTTTCACAGATGCAAGAGAAACAGATTATAGGAGAAGGGGGAACTATAAAATTACTGAGCCTTATTTGCAGCCTAAGTCACAGGTCATGGAATTTTACTATAACTAAAGACAGGTATGAATACTTTAAAGGAGAAGACTAAAAAACACGGGGTCAAACCATTTTCTTTTCACATCACTAGACACAGAGAGGACAGAAGTGAAACATGCAATCATAGCCAGATAGAAGGAACATTATGCACAGGCCACCCATATTTCTGCCAGGAACAACAGTAAGTTGCGTCGATAAAATAAAACATGATCTGCATATGAAAGATAGGATGATCCAGAAAAAGTAAGCACTAGTTAACTCGGGGTATAGCACATCCACTGATATCAAGGTCCAAGGGGAGTTCATTCACTGAAAGATGTTTTCAGTGAAGAACAGAAGATACACGGGGTAAGGACTGAGAGAAAGAGAAAAAGCCAAACAAGTAAAACATGAAGCTACAGGAAGCTGAATTAAAGGTTGGCTGAAAACACTGCAATCCAATAATCACCCAAGGAAAAGCATGAGCAAGAGGACTTACAGATGCAGATTATCCAGCAGGATACAAAATAGAGAATAGTGCTGAACTGTTACAATTCAGCAAGTCAACAGAAAGTCTCTGCCAAAAAACCCTGAAGTCTATGTCAGAGAGGATTCCAGCATTTCTAATCTTTTCACTGATCCTCTTTGCTGTTTTCACTGGAGAGGACTACTCTGAGGAAACTGCAGAGACTTGTGCTGAGAAACCCTTATACATCAGTTGTTGGCCGATGATAAAAATAAGCAGCTAGTAACTCTTAGCACATACAGTGTATGCAGCAGAAGGAAGATTAGAAATGCTGAAAACATTCTTCATGAACAAAAAACATCAACTGAAAACAAGTCAGGTGGAGTCATAGACTGGAAAGGGGCACCACTACACTGATTTACCTTCACTAACTAAAAAAATAAAACTATCATCACGCTCATCCAAGAGCAGTCACATTTAGTGGACTGTCAGTAACCTGCCATTCACTCAGAGCTGGCTCTACAACTAGTAACGCACTGCTTTGGCAAAGGGGTATTAAAACATTTTCTGTTATAAGCCAAGAACTACAGGATATAAAGTCGTGCTGAGCATTCCCAAGCTGTTTTACCTCAAACATCTCTTGCTCTGTCTTTCGATAATCATCCACAAGCTGCTCCATGTATGTCAGATTACGGAATTTTTCTAGGTAACTACTGTATTGTTTCTGCAGTTGCTCCTCAATCTTCTCATACTCATCCATAAAAGCAGGACTGGAGAGAACAAGCACAAACTACTCAGTGAAACATTGACCGCTACATGCAGAATTCCAAAATATGCATTTTTGGTCTTGCAGCTTCCTCTCCATGTCTACTAAACCAATCTAAAAGGACCTTTTGTTTTTAAGGCTCAGAGACGAAAAGCATAAGAGTACTTCAGAGACTAAAAGCACAAGAAAAAAACCTCATTAAACTATACTGCAAAAATTACATACAGCAAAGTAAAGGTTATTGTTACCCACTACCATTTCCTCGCAAAGAGGAAGAAAGGCAGCATTTTAGCCCCTTTAGCAGGAAAATCTAAATTAATTATCTTGCTCTTCCATGACTCAAAGAAACTAGCTTGTAGTATGGCTGGTAAATCATCTACTTTGAGGGAGACTTGTTTGCTGCAAAACTGTGCTGTGTCATTACAAGTGTAACGAGACATGACACCAGTAAGTGATGATGTCCTTACACTACAGAGCTAACTGTTGCACCCTGAAGAACACAGCTGCTGTTTGATGCTTCACATCTACCCAATTACGCTTCCTCCCAGGTCTTACTGATCAAAATGTGTGTATGAATCAATGTCATTTCCACCCCTCATTTTTCTAATAGTTCCTTCTTTTTCATTTTCTTCATGTTATGTCAAAAATAAAGCATGATCTTGTAGAATGTATAAACCTATGGTTTAATTAAGGGCAAGAAATCAACCCAAACTGTGAATCTGAACATGTTGATTTTACAGCAGGTTGTATCACTGCCTAGAGGAACTGATCCTAACAAGAGATGCATAATGAACGTTTTTACTAGTGGCTAGATGCTAGAGGCCTCTGGGAACAGAGGGAATGTTTGCTCTGGTTGCAATTTGCTGAACTACCTGACACAATCTATGTTTAATGACAAAGGAAAAGACAAGACATGCTACCTGACCATTTTTTACAGCTCAAGCAGCAGTTAAGCAACCCCAACAAAAAACATTCTGGCCACTTTTATCAGCCCTGATATTCTGTTTTCAAATACATGGTAACAGAAAAATTAACAATAATAATTCAGACTGGGCATTTGTAGAGAAGAGAATCTGTCTCTTCCACAGGCCACCATCTCAGTCTCATTACACACTTCACTCCTCGCTGCTCTAAGCATTAACAACGCACCATTCCATCGTTAATGTTAACACTCATTTACACAGTAGATAATCAGTTCATAATCTTTACCGAACACTTTGTAGAGTTTGTAGCCTCTTCTGGCTTCTTTCCAGTTCCAATTTTCGTTTTTCAATCTTAGCTTCCAAATTGGCTTCATCCAAAGCCACATTATTCAACATGTCTTTAGTCTTTTGGACTTGTTCCTAAAAGAGAAGGATGGTGAACCATGGCTTGCACTGGAATAATTAAATTCTCGTTCAGATGCTGAATATTCTTCTGTATAATTCCACAACTCATGTTATCAAATAACATTATAACAATGAGCTAGAACATAAACTAGCTAAGTAATGAAAATTTTTAAAAGTTCTTTGTGGCTAGGATAGTGAACTAATTGGACATTTACAAATTTAAAATACCCCCTTTTTTTTTTTCTGACATTCTTAGAGAAGAAAAAAACCCCACAGCTTGCCCTGGACTTCAACTTTATTTTCCTTTCTCGCTGAAAAAGCTGTAAAAGACAGGAAGAAGCCTCCTCAAAAAAATTTGACAGAATATATAAGGACATCTCTTGACATGTAAGTGTCTGAATAAACGCTGATGAGAAATGCATTTATTTCTTGGTACTGTTTTAGGGAATTTTAGTGTTCTTTTTCTCTTCAAGATAAAGGTCAGTTTTATAAAGAAACTCTATCTGAGTATCTTCATCCTTTCCTAAGTCTTGCTTTATCCATATTTTCAAAGTCTGGGAAGCATCCCAAACATTACAATGTGCTACAGGACCAGGAAGTGGGAATATTCCAGCTTATCAAAATGAGCTGAGTACGTTCAGTGTTCTCGTGCTCAGGAAACAATAAGCATCTTTTGAATGAGAAAGATGCTCTCAAATGCTGAAATTCCAGCAGTAACTGTTAGGTCCTGCTCAGCTGTAACAGATCATTTCATTAATCATTAACTGGTCCAGAACCAGGTGAGTGACTGCTATTTCCCAAGAAGCCAACTGCTCTGCTATGCTGCTGTTAGTTTATTACCACTGCTGCGTAGAATAGCAATGTGCATTAACAACATTTAGAATTCATATAGACTGCGAATAGGAGCAGAAACACAATGAAAGATTGCCTGGAGTATCTATTAATTATGAATCGGCTGTTTAAATCTGGAACTCCGCTCCATGTAATAACACGATTGGACTGGATATAGTTTGCAGTTAAATAACTTATAGTAATCACTGGGATTTTAACCACTGTACTTGCACAGTGGCTGCGAGTGCAGCTAATGGTTCAGAAACACAGGAACCCAAGCACTGGAGCAAGGACAGTGTTGCTGAGACTGAGACAGACAAAAGTTCCTCCAAAACAAGAACCATAACGATGCACTGGCATGGCACTAATTAGCACACTGCCAGTTCTCACCCCTTGGCAGCTTAGCTTTCCCACTTCTAGGTACCAGCACATTCTGAGTTACCAAGTACACCCCTCAACAACCCTGACTGCAAAGTTTACATGGCTTAGACAATGTAGGTGAGATGTAGATTTCTGGGCTGATTTAGGCAATTTTTATCCCTCCTGTAGAGATTCTGGGGCTACTACTGAGCTCCTAACAGAGGCAGAGAATATGACTAAAATGCATTTTCTTCCAAGAGAGAGGCCAAGGGAGGCCAAGCGCCGTTCTTTGATGCATCAACTGAAGGAATGTTGCTACACATTGCACCAGCACAGTTATACAGTGCAGTAGTGATAGCAGAGTGGGTCTTAACCTGCTTATGTTCTCCTGGGTGCTACTGCTGGCATCATTTACCCTTTCTGCTGCAGGCTGTGATTTCTAACTGCCAGCTCACAATCATCACCGTGCCACAGACACCTCATTTCACTCTGCCAGGAAAGCTATCAGTTTCAATTAACATCCTTGTTCACTTTAAACACAACAGGTTTCCCAAATAAACCATAAGGATCATCAGTGACCATATTCATTACAACAACAAGGAGTCATCACAGACTGCTCTCTGCCTTGATGAACTTCTGTTCACACATCTGATGTTACCTAAAGATCAAAGTCTGCATTAGCCATTAACTGAAGTTGAACAGCAGGTATTAACTAATCAGGTGCAGCACTACTTAGTCCAGACAGCTGAAGGTGTGATGTGTGCTTTGGCACTCTTAACCCTAGGCTGTTGATAAAAAGAGCTATGTTCTTCATGCAGAAGAGGAATGATAATTTTGCAATTAAATAAATATAATTTTGCTTACCAGAACACAGTCAATGGCAATTTTCATCATCTTCTCAGCCTCATTTATCTCCAGAGGTCTAGCAATAGATGCTGTTCTTGCTTCCTGTGAAATAAAAATACACCAATATATTTAAACACTACACAAAGGAACTAATATATTCAGAACTGGGGGTGGTCAAGAAACAATTATATGATCATCTGCATACTAAATGAAGCAGGATTTAGTGTTTGTTCACCAAGGCTCAGATGATGTAAAGAAGAGGAGATGATGAAGAAGTCAGTTATGTGAGGCTGAGATTAATGCTGAGCAATTAAAGCAGCTTTTCAAAACCAAGTAAGTGTTACTCTCTGAACTGCAAGTATTCTTGAATGCAGATTTTTGGAAACTGCACTGGTTATTACATGTTGAGCAAGGTATGCAACGTAGCACAGATTTCACCATCTTTATAACACAACCTATGAAAACAATAGTGTGGGTAGATGTGCACAGTGTCACAAAAATTGTGGAACAAGCACTGTGAACCCATCTCACTCGGTCGGGCACCAACAGTGAACCTTGTTTAGATCCCAAAGGATGAAAAAAACCTCTTCCACCATCAGCAGTTTCAGGGACAGATGGCCTTTGGGGCATTCAGCATACACTTGTCTGTGTGATGTCTTACAACACTGACCTGGACATTATATGAAAATATTGAATTACTTGTTTGTTACTGGGAGGAGAGGAGGGAGATTTTTGCTGATAAATGTCCCTAAAATCATCTTATGTTAGCAAACCATTTGGTATCAGGTGGATAAAGATGGAAATAGAATTTATCTAGTGAACATCTGACTAAGAATCTAAAAATGCTTGATACACATTGCAACAGGCTGTACCGTCTACTACAAGATGAATTCTGGAAAGAAGTACAATTACTTTGTTATCATGCCAGACACTCCAGATTGCATAGGTAAGTACTAGCACAAGCAGCTTAGCTCCCTCCCCACCAACTCAGGTTCAGGGAATTGCACGGTGAACCCAACCAGGGAACTCATCCAGCCAAATAAAAGCAGCTTTTTGTGTGAGCTTACTTCTCTGCTGGAGCAGTTCCCTGAACAAGCCTGCCACATACTGCCCAAAGGCTTTTTTTTTTTTTTTTTTCCTGGCACAAGAAAAGAAGTAGAAGAAATACTATGTTGGGGATAGTGAAGGAGCTACATCTGTTGGTGGCAGTGACAGCTTACATTGCCTGAAGTGCTCGTGAATGTTACCTCTGTCCACACAGAAATAACAAGCTCCAAGCAGCAGAAAGTTAATTTGGATGAACAAGGAGTCTGCACAATACATATTCCTTGAGTAACTCCACAGGCAGACACTTTTGGAGGGAGACTGGACAAGAATAATGTAGCTCAGTAGCTATTCTGAGAACATTATGAATTTAACAAGCTCAACAACATGCCTATTTATTTGTGAGGACTTTGCCTGAACTGAAATGGTGGCCAGGATCAGCCTGGTGGAGACTGCCCTGCCAACTTTACTCAGTTCTTCTGACAGCAACAGAGAGATCTCTGCTACAGAGTGAATGTCTTTCAAACAAAATAGTTTATCACTCAGCAGGAGGAAGGAAATTATTTTCCTTCCCACTTTCAAAAGAGATAAAAGAAACAGCAAGGGCCTTAGATTTTAATTATAAACAGCTCCCTTACCAATTTCCTTACAGTAGCCTGGTAAAACATCCACAGAACATGCACTAGTCACTTCAGTGTGTGCTGGGTCAGGGTTACTGATGGGTTTAGATACACTGCTGAGATCTACCTTTTTAAGTTGGAATAATTTATACAAGTTTTCTTCTTCTGCCTTCCCTCTACTACCCATGAAAGTTTCACTTACAGACTACAGAAATCCACATCATTTTCTAGAACAAGGTTCAGTCCTACAGTCACACTCGCTTGGAAAAACATATTAGGCCAATGAAGAGTAATGTAAAAGCAGAAATTCGTTTTTTCAGACTGTTGATTCAGGGCTAAACTGTAAATGGAGAAGGTGCCTTGCACCAAAACAGACCAAGAGGAAAATCCATGTGAACCATTACAGCGGACCATATTATATAATATATCCATTATTATTATTATTATTATTATTATATAATATGTCCATTAATATATAATGGACATATATTTGAAAAAATAAATATATGTTGAGGGTATCAAAGCTGTTGACAAATTTTTAATGGATGTTTTTAACAGCTTCCCTGGGTATCCATCACTGGGCTTTTTCCTGTTATCCTATGGAAACTCTCAAAGAGAAAACTTATTTTTAATATCTCTTTTCAGGAAAAACAACACAGCTGGCCATATAGAAGAGGATTAAAAGGAAGGCAGATCACATTAGAAAAATAAATACCCCACAAAGATTATGAAGGCAATAGGAAAAACATTTACTTTAAAATACCAGAGTTGGTCAATTTAAACATTGTTAAGCCATTAGCAAATTAAAGAAAATCAATTTAACAAAACCACTTTGACTATTTCTGTCTCCCCACATGAGGAACTAAAGCACATTCTTCCTCCAGCCCAATTCATCCTCACTAGTATTTCTTACCCAATATAAAATATGCAGTGAAACGACAACTGAGATTTTTAAAACCTGGCTTTACACAAAGACCCTTCTGCTTGTGCTTAAATCTGTGGATATGACTAGGCTGTATACTTGAAGGCAAAACCAATTTTCTAAATTTGTCCAAATATCAGGTATTCTATTGCCACTGGCTGTACTCATAAGTCCTTGTGCTTAAAAAAACCACACAAATGAAACTGAGCTGAAAAATATGGCCTCATGCATTTTCGTTTAAAGTAACGTACTCTTTGCAATTAGGTGTACTGATCAGAATACACATTATAATACACAAGAGGTTTCCTTTAAATTAACCATTAAAAATAGATTTCTCAGGAGAGATGAAAAATATAGAAAAAAATTATCAAGGCAAGAGGAGGTAAGAAGCAGAACAATTTAGGACTATCCCTGGTAATTACAACTTGAGACAACAAACATACGCAAAATCAGCGAGGTGTTCATGGACAAACTGATTGTTTACCTGATTCCTGTTCAAAGCATCCAAGACCTCCCTGGCTATAGTTTTACTAATTAAAATAATAAATACTAATTTTAAAAGTGTAAAATTATTTTTGATTAACTAAAACTGACAATTATTAAAGAAAACACATGAAGGCACACAAGAGACACCATTTGCTGGCATTATTTATCCTCCCCTGGAAGGGCTGAGACTTTAATTCTTCAAGTTTTGAATCTCATTTTGGACAAAGCCAATTGGAAGTACTAAGTTGGCTGGTTTAGACTTGAAAACTTTGTTTTCTTTGGAAATGAGACTTTCATCACAAAGTAAGAAAAATTTCTAATCAAAGACTAGCTGACTGCCCCATCAAGCAGAACAGATCACAGCCTGACAGGACGTTCCACACAGGACATGGAAAGTTAACAGTGAAGCCAGTCCTGCCCAAACTGCATAAGTTTTGGCATCAAAAGCGAAGATAAATTCCTTAGCCCAAAACTGTATGCAGTCATTTCAGGAAATAACACTGGTGTCAAAGCATTCAAAACTCCAACTGTCTAAAGAATTTACTCGTCTGAAATTTGCATCCCTGCTGAGCGATGGTCCCGTGGGTCAAACAGCAGTGAGGGAGAAGGCCACAGCAGATGGTCAGAGCAGAAGCCTGAGGTCCTGTCCACAGGCATCAGACCAGCAGCCAGCCTTCTGGAGGAGGCAGCGAGCTGTGGTTCTGTCTGTTTGCTGCAGCAACCACCTTTTGGTGGAGAAGTCAGCCAGACACTGGACCACAAGTCACCATTATTCTCGCAACACTCAGCTTAGTGTTGCAATACAGCTTCTTTCTGCCAAAACACAACAAAGCAACTGGTTCACCTAACCAGGGGTTATACCTTGCTCAGCAAAAAAGCATCCTGCAGGATACAGTCACCTTACCAACCCCCCTTGCAGCTTCACTGCCAAACATCCAGTTAAACATAAACAGGCTGGTTGAAATACAGAATGCAGAAAAGCAGCACAAGAATTGCCTTTTCTGTCACTAAAGACGTGTTCCACAAAAGTCTGCAGCCTTAAGCTTCCTGCATGTGGAAACACACGGACCTCTCTGCTCCTCCAGGATCAGTAGGGAATAGCTACCTTTTATTGGAAGTATAGTAGCTTTTAGGGTATGTACACTGCAGGAGAGCTGAGCACGCACACGACCAATGAGATCAAGCAATGCCCATTTATTACAACGAAGAAAGCCCTTTTATAATGTTCTCCCACACACGTGAGTAACATGCAGTACAAGTCCTCAAGACTGGACAGTTAACTTAGCCCGCGCTTTAAACATTCTTATGATTGGATAAAAGGTGCCACATCAGCCTTGCCAGGCTCCCTGCCTTGGGTAACTTCCTCTTCCGTCCCAACCCCTTCCAGGGGTTGTTTGTCTCGTCGAGTTTCTCCCCCCTCATTCAGGGTCACATCCTTATCGCATTCTCGCTCGGCTGAGGCTCTTATCAGTCTTGTTCTCACGCAGGATTGCTCACATGTCCATTCTCTCACAGAAAGCCCTCTAGAATCCCAACATGTACACAATGTCTGAAATACATGGCAATTTGCAGATGACTCCATTGTTTGCACAAATGTGTCCACTGTTATCTTCCAGGTATGCCCTAAATCCGTATTATATTTGCCAGCCCTCTTCAGATGTCTTGGATCCCCTTAGACATCTGAAGTGAGACTAGATGTCTATATTGCAGATTAAAAAAGCACAGTATGGCTTTGTCATCTCTCTGAATAATGAAAAAAGTCAACTCACCACCGCCACCACAAAAAACCCCCAAACGAAAACCAGGTAACAGCTCCTGAACATTTGGATTTCAGCCCATTTCCATGTCAAATATAAGACCAGAAATATATACTACCAGCTAAAATTGTTGAGAAGATAAGACAAAACTCCCCCAAAGCATCAAGAATTAGCAGGAAACACTACAGAGAGAATTGGTTTACTGGCAAGTATTGTATGGGCTCCACAGACTGAGTACCAGCAAAGGGTCCAGATATGGCTCCTGGCACCTTC